TGAGCCACAGCACCACTTCTGGCTTTTTCTGCTTATGTGGTGCTGAGAAATCGAACCCAGGGCCTCATGCATGCAAGGCAAGCACTCTACCACTGAGCCACCTTCCCAGCCCTTTCTTTCCAGTTTTGAAATACATCCGTCTATGCCCTCCTTGGTGTTTAGAGTTTCTACATTTATGCATTACTGGTGCTTCTTTCCTACAATTTCCTTTCAATTTTCTTTGAAGAAGATGTAATGGAGAGATGCTATTCTGGTCATGTCACTCACCTTCAGCATCTAAATGCCTTTGATACCTAAACGTCCATTTTGTCCCCAAATTTAGAAATTTTTGTTATTTTACTTGGTAAGTTTCCTATACCTTCAACCTATATCTTGGTGCCTGCATCACCATTAACCATTTGTATGTTCAATTAAAAATATGTCCCATGATTGTGCATCTGTTCATACCTCTGCCACTGATGGATAAATGATTCCTTATCAGAAAATAACAGCTAGTTTCTATGTTTTTTGGTTTCTATACTTACTAAATGATTTTTTTTGTGTGAACATTGTATTGACATGACTTTCAGTTGTACGGTCCTTTCTGTTTTTATGCTTCTCTGTGTGTGTTGTTTTTCTCCATGTGAAGGTTGGATATATTGTCATTGAACCTGAGACAGCTCCAGGTAATGAGAGAGAAGGAGGGAGGGAGGGAATGGAGAGAGGCATTGGAAACCTACTGAGTAAAATAATAGCAAGATTCTTTAAATTTGGAGAAGATATGGACATTCTAGCCCACAAGTATGGATAAAGAAAAGGCATAGACAGGCCAGGCCTCTGTGGCTCATGCCTATAATCCTAGCTACTCAGGAACTGAGATCTAAGGGTTGAGGTTTAAAGCCAGACAAGACAGGAAAGTCCCTGAGACTCTTATCTCAATAAACCACCAGTAAACTGGAAGTGGTGCTGTGGCTTAAGTGCTAGAGTGCTAGCCTTGAGCTGAAGAGCTGAGGGACAGCACTCAGGCCCAGAGTTTAAGCCCCACAACCAACCAAAAAAAAACAAAAGAAAGAAAGAAAGGAAAAGGAAAGAAAGAAAAGGCATAGACAACAAGGGAATAGGTGACATATTCTTTGCCTGACCCCTCTGTTTTTAGCATGTTCAAAAAATAAAGGCATATAGGCAATCCTGCTACTGCCCCTCAGCCACAGAAAAGGACCAATATAGAGGGCAAGAATGGTCTGGAGGGAAAACTAACACCAGATGACTTCCAGCAGAAACACAAGTTTTAACAAGAATAGGTGAGGTAAAGAAATATGTGCATGGGTGTGTGAACAGCAATGTCAGGGGTGTCTGAATAGACAGGTAGGCAGGACACTCAGTTGTTTGTGTGGCTTCACAATCTAGAATTATGTCTCTAGTGGAGATGGGACCAAGAAAATTCAATTCTCTCCCTGAGCCTATTCCTTATAATTAGTATCTACTGGGATTCCAAATTGTATGCTTACAACCAACACTTACGCTTTTGAAATATGATACTAATGAATTCTCAGGAGACGTAGACAGATAAAAAGAGCTATCTCTGTGAAAAGCTGCTTGTTTTCCTTGCAGGTAAGTATTTATGAGAAAAAAAATTGCTTAATGAATTCATCACTGTTCATAAAAGAAACATATCCAGCAAATGTACTACACAAATGTACTATGGAAGTTTGTTGGTTCCTAAAATCTGCAGAAATAAACAGGTTTCTCAGCAAAGATCAATCAAGTTGAGTTTATTTCTTGGAAGGAAAAGACTACACAAGTCATTGCTGGGAAATAAATCTGTATAAAAAGCTGAGAAAGCAGCCTAAGACATTTCCCTTTTTGAGATTGACTAGTGCCACCTTCTGGTAGTTGTAGATATTTCTCTTCATTTTCTTTCAGAGTGCTTATGCAATATTTTTAATTTTTTTTAGAATTTAAACAAAATGGGACATGTGGCTCCCAGAGATGAATGCAATCTTTTCAGCTGGTTTTTCATGTGTTTATCTTTATGAATCACTTCAGAAAATGTCTTGAGCTGCTTTGATCCACCATTTATATAGATTATCCATTGACTTCAGTTTATTGAGACTGACAACCTAGATTTCCTGATCCCCGGCCCCTATTAGACTAAACACTTACTTCATAATTTTGTTACCTAAACATACATTTTTATTACTTAATCATCTAGACTTTCCAGCTCTCCCACATAAAACAACACTTTCTGGTGAACCTTTATTCTTTGCATAGACTATTCCATTAATCAATATATGCCTAATGTGTGTGTGTGTGTGTGTGTGTGTGTGTGTGTGTGTGTGGCACATGCATCAGTCCTGGGGATTCAACTCAGGGCCTGGGCATTCACTATCCTTGAGCTTCTTTTGCTCAAGGTTAGTAGCCTACAACTTGGGTCAGGCTCCATTTCTGGCTTTTACATTTGTTTCTGTAGTTTATTGGAGATAAGAGTCTCAGACTGTACAGGAAGCTTCAAACCACAATCCTCAGTTCTCTTCCTTCTGAGTAGCTAGTATTACAGGCATGTAATATACCAATTTGGTAATTAGAAAATTGCTTCCTCAAAATCTAACCAAATCATCAGTATTCTGTTCCAACTCAGAAAACCCAAGTGAAGTCTATCATAGTTATTTTCCCCTTTCTTCCTTCTTGAAAGCTATAGTTTCTGAAATCTGTGTAAGAGAAATGGCAAACAATTAGGAAAACTTTTCTCCCCAGATAACAATAAAGGTTTGATTTTAAAATTCTGAACCAGAAATACTTTATACCTTGGTTTTTACCTCAAGCAGGTGCCTTTGGGGAAAGTAATTACTACAGCATTCTGAAATTACACCCTCTCACTCCTGAGTTTATGTATGTGGGAGCTGTGAAGGAAATGTCAGAGTTATATTCCAGGGTCACCTGTCCAAAGAAAGATGGTAAATTTTCCAAATGTCAACACTGGCCCTTGTTTTATTAGCCTCTGTTTAAAAGAAGCAAATTATAAGATGCAGGGTGAAAAAAAACACAGATACCTTCATGAGACTGAGGAAAATTATATTATTCCCTAAGGTGATATAAACAACCAAAAATATTACAGACAAAACATAGGTTCCTAAGGCATCATGGACTGACTTGAATCTTCTTAACATATATGATGAAGACCTTCTCTGCCTCAGAACTTGATTTCTAGCTGAAAATAGTGTCATTTACGAAGCTAGGAGCTGAAATGAGGTCACAGCGGAATAAGCTAAGTCCCGTCCAGGATGGCAGGTGTCCTTATAAGGAGAGAAAAGGACAAGGAACACAGGAATTCCCAGTGATGGCAGAGAAACCAGAGGGATCAAGCTACTGGCTAGCATGTCTGCTGGTTGTCACTTCAGGCTTCAAAGAGGCAAGGAAAGACTCCAGTGAGTTTCCAGACAAGGGGCAGGGAGAGGGGTACAGAGCCCTGACAATGAGCTAACAAACCTCTTCCCTTGACTCCATATGTTGTTTTACATCACCCTAAGAAACCAAGAGCTGAGCAATATTTGCAAGAGTGGTTAAAAAAAATAGAAGAGGTTTATAAGGATAGAGGTTTAAAAAAAGAAAAGCATGAAATCGATCCTGAGTTCAAAGCCTACTACTGACAAAGAAACACAGAAACATTAAAATTGGAGGAAGAGTTCCATTCTGCCTGCCTTGATCTAGCTAATAGGACAGAGTAGATACATTTATATGAAAGAAAACAGATTAAAAAACTGCGCCCAATGGAGGCATGGTGTTTGCAATTTTCACTCATTAGGACTAGCTAGCCAGTCATCATGGGAGAAGTAGAAATAAACCAGTTTCCACAAAGATGTGTGTGTGATACAGCAGGCCATGTCCTTTGAAAGGCAGAACAGGAATCAGCTCTGGGCTCATCCTGAAGTTGACATGAGACAGATGAAGGGGCTGGGTTGGGAGGGGATGATCAATGTTCCCAAAGGGGACTTGGGCCAAGGAGGGCGGGAGGACCACAAGGCTGTCGATTCAGTCGCTGTGGGGATAGAACCTGTCTTGTTCACCTGTACCACCAGTGCCCATCAAACGCCTATGATTTGTTGCAACAACATTCCAAGGGTGCTTATCCATCACTGAGCCGGGAAGTAGCCCAATTTTGTGGAACTGGGTGAAGTTCAGTCGCTGGATCGTTCCCCCTGGCTGTATGTTTAGAACTGCTGAAACAGGCACCAATATTTAGCAAACTGAATGCGAGCACAATTTAAAACTCTCCAATTTCAGATCATTCTTTATTTACAAAACAGACTGACTCTTTGTTTTACAAAACTTACAAAATAGGACTCTTAAAAATAGAAATCGGCTTCTCAAGCTCTCGGAATCCACTTTTAAGTGGTGAACATGAGACCAGCAACTCTCAGATCCACACTGCCGCCACTGCCAAGGCGGGCGCGGCGGTCAGGACAGACTCTGAAGGAGCAAGATCTTCTCGTTAATGCAGAACCTGTGCAGCACCACCATCAGATTCTCGCCGCAGCGGGACACCTGGCGCTCCATGGCCAGGCGGAAGTCCTCCTTCACGCCTTTGGTGATGCCCCGGGTGACGGTGTGGTGCCTGGGGTCGGCAACAGGAAAACAGAGGGAGCTGGGTTAGCAGCAGCATCGTGGACTGGCGTCACCCAGGTGGGAAGAAAGCCTGCCTCACATCTAAGTACAGGAAGAGACTCGAACCAAATGTAAAAAGAAAAAGAAAATCTGCAAGCAGACACCCACTCCAGCCCATTCTGCTCAGACGGTCTTTAACTAGGGAGATAGCTTACCCGCCTAGACGAGGTGATTTAAATGGCCACATGCTTACTGGAACTACGACTTGCTTTAGTTGGTTGCGCTCCAGTTGTCCGTCCCTACTGCTGATGTGCACACACCACTCCATCACTAAGGGCCCAGTGGGTCCCGTCCTCACTGGTGCCCAGCGAGGCCAGCAGAGCCAGGAGGGGTAGCAGCAGAAAGGAGGGGATCCAGGATGCAATCCATCACCAAAAAGAGATCCCTGCAGCTAGCCTTCCCACCCCTCCAGCTCGGAAAGGCCTGGGCTTTTGTGTAGCTTTCGGGTTCCTGGGTGAGCACACCTCTCTGTGCGGCTCCTCCCCTCCACATTCCCATCATCACCAGAGAAAAAGCAGGGGATCTTGGGGACAGTGAGATAAAAAGGGTAGCCCAGATGGGGAGAGAGGGCCTGCAAAGTCCTAGGAAGACCAGATTTGTCCAGAGGCACAGAGGAGGGCCACTGGTCTGGGAGGGGTCACCAAGAGAAGCAGTTAAAGACTTGTCTAATTGGCCCCTACTGCTGTGCATCAGGGAAGGAAATGACAAACAAAACCCCAGAAACCAGAGGACAAAAAAAAACCAAACAAACAAAAACAAAACAACAACAACAAAAATCCCCCATCAAAACTCAATGGGAAGTTTGAGCTCCTAGTTTGGGAACGTCATAGATTCAGACAAACAAAAGTCCTTCCCCCCCCTCCCCATATACCCACTGTCTAAGTTCTCTCAGACAAAGGAACAAATCTGAACGTTCGATTGTACACTGGGCAAAGTGTAACTGCTGCAATCATTCTCAAAATGGGTCTTGTTTTTAGAACATCATCATCACACAAAATCAAGTTCACCAGAAATCCTAAGATCACAGTGTAATAGAAGACAATGACTGCGGCTGTGAGAGGTTTGTGGAGCTACCAGAGCACCCCACAGGGGCCATGGAGATTTAAAAGGACCGTTTAAGGGGCCATGGGGAAAGGGCAGTTCTTTGTGGACACTTGGAGTATGGCTGGGGCTAAGTGTGTCAGTGAGGTCAAGGTTCTGAGTCCTGCTGGGAATAGATGCAGATCGTTTGCTGTTGTCTTGGAAGGCTGCTCACCTGGGTCCCAGGTCTCTATAGTGGACGAGTTCCCTGCAGGCAGCAAGGTAAAGGGAAACCTCTTCTCTGAATGCTACTAAGAATACAATTACATGTCACACCTGCTGTTGTGGTCCCGTTTCTGCCTATAAGAACAGCACCACTTAACGGCATTTCCATTAGAGCCTCCTCTCATAAGGCCAAAAGGTGCTAATTAGTCATCCCCATATGATGTTTCTTTCAGCTACTGAAGGACCACATTGGCTCCATATAGTCTAGGAATGGGGGAAGCCATCCCACCCAGGATGGGATGCCCCCCTGTGGTACTGGCATTGGGGACAAAGCTAACTAATGAAGGATTCGTTTCTTAGAAAGTGCTCCCATTATTAAGTGACCATGACGGCAGTTAGCTCTGACGCTTTAAGAACAAGATGGGTGAACTAATGAATATGGGATTGTGTTGGCCTATCAACTATGCACCCCAGAAAACCAAGGGCTGAAAAACCAGCCCGAATGGCAGGAGCAAAGCAGGTCATTAACTATGGAGACCAAAAGAGAAAATGAAAACCCCCAAAGGAAAAGCTACTTCAAGTCAACTTCAGTTCCTTAAATATTTCCTACCAAAAGTCTTGTTCTTTTTTTTTTTTTCCTTTTCAAAAGAGACTCAGAGTTGAGCACTAAATCTAATGCAATTTTATAAAATCTTCGATTTTGTTTTTCCAGATCCATAATGATTTTTAAATTCAACACAAACACATTGGCAACTTATGGGAAAAAAAAATAAGAAATGTTACGATATTACACCGGATGGTTTGCCAGGGGGGATGCGAAATAAAGTAAAAAAAAGAAAGAAAGAAAGAAAGCATGGCACAGAGCACTGAGGAAGGAAGCTGAAACCATGGGGCGGGGACACATGTCGACACACAGCACACTATGAGCAGGTGTTTTGTCCACTTGGTACCTGTCAGCAGTCTGTATGTTGGGCTGAAGCACAGGTAAGAATTCCTGCTGCAGCAACCCCATGGGAGGGCTAGAAGGCCTTTAAAAAACAGCAAACAGCAGCATTCAAACACCCACACCGGCTCACCCTGCACTGCAAAAACAACACTCCAGAGAAGATACACAGGACTGGAAGCAGACTTACAGAAACTTCAACCTCGACAAGGCCCTGGCGTGGCGTGCTTTGGGTGGGTGTGGGTGGGGGAGGGGGTGGGACAAACTAGTGAGCCTCATGACATCCAACTGTGGGTAGCAGGGCCGAGGCATCCTGGCTCCTGGTCCTCGAGCTCCCCTCAGCCCCCTTGAGATGAGGACAGAGCCCACTGTGAGTTTGAGGGCCACGGCAGGTAAGGGGACGGCAGTGGGAAGGGGGGAATCTGAAGACACGGTCACAAGCCCAGCCTCCTCGACTCTGCGCTCTTCTCGTGCCCACACCGGCCTCAGACACGCACCGGGTGACTGTGGGTGACCTGTGGCGGAACTGAAACCCCAAACTTAAGAGGCCCAGAGGGGCGACAGTGCTTTTGGGAAAAGAAAGGGCGAGTCTATAGGTCAAACAAGTAACTAATGGGGGGGAAAAAAGAGTAAGTCTGGGGGCCCACAGTGTTGTAGAACTCTGGAATAGAGATTTAGTCAATTAGCTGGTAATTACCTCATTGAGCACCATCATTTTCTAATTGAATCCAGTCTAGTGCAACTGAGAGACTACAAATATCAGCATAGAAACATTTCTCTGTTTTAAAACACATCAGAGCAAAATGTCTAGAGAACAAAGGAAGAGCTTGCCTCTCCTTCCACCAGGTAACCTGGTGTGTGTGTACTGTACCTGCTTGCATCCGAGATACCACAACTAGGACGGACTCACAACCTTACCCCAAGGGGAGGAGCTGTACACTGCTCACAACATCTCTGCCACTCATCTGGCGGGACCACCCATAAGGTCTGCAAAGGCTTCAGAGAATTTGTTTGGAACCCAAAGGGAAAAGGAATATAGATAGTTTTATTCAAGAGTCTAATTATACCTCAAGTAGTCAAAGCTCTCTGTCTTATGCAGTTTGATTCTCGTACGGTAGTTTAGGTATAAGTTATCTGAAATATAGGTTTCAAATTCACTTTGAGACCCCCACAGTGAACACCAGCAAACTCCTGAAAGTCAGGTCACTAGGCAGCCATCCCTAGTCCCGTTTCTAAGCCAATAAAATGGCGAGATTCCTATGGGAAGTTCAAGGAAATTAAGGTAAGACTGGTCAAGGTGGGGGAGCCTAGAGTAATCCAAATGTATACCGCCACCTGCAACTGACCCCTTCCTGTTGTACCATCCAGGTTACTAACTCTCCCTTGCTTTACATTCTGTGTCCTAGAGATGGTTATGAGCCCTTGACACCGATCAGCTGAAGGAAAACTGGGGGAAAGAAGGAAGGCTCAGGACAATGAAGTCTGAGGTTCAAGGGCAGAGTTTCAACATTCCTTTCACTCCCACTTGCACAGAGTTAAGGACTGGCTGAGTTAACAGGACAGTCCTCTGCAGGTTTGATCTCCTGAGGGTGCAGTAGGCTGGTTCTAGGGCTGTAATAGAACCCAACAACTGTGTACAACAGAATTCATAAGCTTGAAATGTAATCGAAGAAAACTGTTGAGGCTGTGTGAGACTTGTGAAGCAAGGAGACAATTGGGGTGTGGTATGACAACTTGATTAACTAAAAGGCTTTATTGAGAGTCTGCTTACGCATTCAACATTATAGCCTAGAAACGGTAGCAGAACGGGTCTGCTGTTATTCTCAGAGTTAGGAATATTTTGAGCCATGCAGTCATTTCCCCCCCATAGTTCTGACTCTCAAATCTCAGGAGCGTCAGTGGTCATGGAAGATGCGCGTGTCCAGTCCCTCTTGCCTACGCAATCTCATCTGTATGGGGTCTCAAGATCTTAAAAAATGTACTTGTTCTTTCAAATGTTTAGGATACTTAATACTGATCACAAGATTCCCAGACCATTCTTGCTAAGGCAAGAATGTTTGCTATGCACCTAACAACGAGGGTCACAGAAACCCAGGATGAATATTTCTTCCTTCCCTTCCTCAATGTTTCTAAGACTGAAGAATAACAGAGCAAGGTATGGACTTTTGCTTTCAACCACCCAACACTTGCTGCTGTCACCACTGAGGGTAAAAAACGAAAGGCCTCCCAGCCTCAGCCTAACCTCCTTCCCACTCGGGGCTAAGTCTCTTGCAGTACCTCTTTTCCCTAACTAACAGACACACTGAATGTGCAGGAAGCAAAGGAGGAAAGATGAAAATAAAACTGCACGTGGCACTAACAGCAGGAAGGAAATATTACCCAAACTACAATGAGGATTGAGGAGAAGCAAGATTCATGAGCTATTTAAAAATCATAAATGGTCACTAACTTGGTATTTTCACCTGGGCCAAGCTAGAACTTCAGGGACCTCGGTGGGCACAGGGGCAGGTCTGGGACTGAGTCCCTTGCCCTCCCCTCCCTGCCCACATTGCTGTAGGCTCTGGGGGGGCACTGGGTACAAGGACCTCATTTAGTGCTGGAAACAGTGGGCAGTGCATGAAGGACTTCAGACAGAGTTTAAAAATGACATCTGTCATTTTTTCTAATGAATTTCCCCTATTTCAATACAATTTTAAGCACGCCTACTCTTATGAAAATCCTTTCCTATCTAATCAGAAATCTATATACTTAGGCTGTAAGTCTTGGAAATGAGAAAGAATCGGGAGGAAACTTCTTGTCTAGTGAAAAAGCTTCAGAAGTAATATCCTAATGTAAACTTTGTTTAAGTTAAGGAAAGACCAGTCTTTCAGTCACCTGAATTACACTGACTCTTAAAAAGAGACCAGGTCTGGCTTCCTTCCTATTAAATTACCAAAAGGTACAAAAATCGACAAATAGTTCGTACAAACACAGGAAAGGTGAGCACAGTTTGGAAGAACAAAAGATCGTCTGCTTACTTGATCAGCATTCCTTGATTGGGGAGTAATTCCAGATGGATCTTTCCTCCCTCCTGAGTCCGTAAGTAGGCAAATTCCTCCAGCATATCAATATCTGCAGGCCAGAGTCAGGTCAACCGCACGTGACAGCAAGGCACTCCATCCTTCCACGCTTGGCCGCCACCATCCCACAACTGCAGAGTGTGAACCTAGGCCTAACTCCAAAACACAGGACTTTTATATCCACCAAAGTGCCTCGCAGAGAGAAATATTGGACGAGGAGGTGCCAGGCTGGCCCGGGGATGTAGCTCAGTGGGAAGGCATTTCTACACCAAACAAAAGGTAATGGACACTGGAACTACGCGTTTAACCTGTAGAGATAACTATACCGACTCTACACAGCAACCATTATTTTTTCTTACTAAGGCGTCATAGATAGTGGGAGTGCAAGAGAGTGGTTTGGGATTCCAGCATACCAGTTATAACAAGCAAGTGATTCTTTCTTATGCCCAGTGTGCAAGGATTTCTAGATATTGCAAGATGAACTCATATATATTTATTTCTTGGGGGGGAAAGGTATGTGAACTCAAAAGGTTCAGCACCCCCCCCCAAAAAAAAGAGTAAAAACTCTTGCTTTATGGCACTTGGATAAAGGAATATGTATCTTGCCACTCAAAGTACTTCCCTGGAATAAGACAGAAAGCCATCCACATGGAGGCATAGCCTTCAATTCCAGGAAGGTCTCTGGCTAATGAACACCGTGAACTCAAGCACCTGCTATGGGAGAGAGCAACTCTGGGCTGGGGAACGAGTCATTAGCAGTTGTGACAGCCAGGGCCTGGTGAGCCTACAGCCAATCCCAGGGGACAGCCTACGTCCCAAGAAAGGCCACAGGGAACACTCTTTCCATAGAGGAAGGCTGGGGAACTATGCTACTCTGTAGTTGGCTTTCCCAGGCACCTTGTAGGCTATTACGTCAGAAATCTTGGGTGCCTTTCTGGAAGTCCATTCGAAATAGAAAATGGAACAGGGGTGTCCACGCCTGATTCCTTGAATTATGTTTCTGAAGTCTCATTGACTTTTTAAGAAGAGTTCCTTTCTTTTTTTTCGTGGTAATCAGGTTTGCACTCGGCCTTATGCTGACTAGACTGGCAGTCTACCACTTGAGCCACACATCTAGTTCCTTTTTCCTTTAGTTACTTTTCAGATAAAGTCTTTAGTTTTTTTCCAGGCTGGTCATTCAACCAATTCTCCCTCTTATGTCTCTCATGTTTAGATTATGTGCCACTACTCCTGGCTTGCTCCTTAATATGAGGGCTACCTAACTTGCTGCGGAGCTACCCTCCTGAGTAGCTGGGATTACAGGCATGATCCACCTCTCCTGGACCCCCAACGGGAAAATCCAGTAATACTACTCCAGAATGGTTCACTCCATTTCGTACGATGCATTCGTACTGTACAACTCAGAATCCATTATGCTTGCTTGAACAATGAAAAGGATACTCGTAACATAATTGAAAAAGTTCTCGTATTGGAAATTTCCTTGCTGGCAAATCTTATTGATAGCCTTCAGGAAGAGATTCTCTCCCCGCGGCCACTCCTGCTGGAGCAACACAATCACGTGTCCCAGTGCCATGTCGTCTCTGCTGTCCGTGAACGCCCTGAGCTGCAAGACAAACATGCCCACAGGCGGGGAGAGGAGATGAGTGTCAACTCTGATCAACACCTAGGATCACCTCCTAAAACCTGTGCCTATGCAACTGTGTGGTACAATCACAAGAGAAGCACCAAGGAACCGCTGGTCCTCATCAGGACGCTGGTCCTCATCAGGGCTGTGTGCAGGGGCTGGGAGGTTCAGATGGGAGCTGAGCATGCTCGAATGAGCCTGAGGCTGGGAGTCGAGTCACACCCATCACAAAGAATTTGGAGATTTCTTTTGGGGATTAACTGTGAGTGGAAAAAGATGGGCTCTTGAGGAGGCTATGCAGGGCAGAAAACACAGGCAGTGGGCAAAGGACTGTTTTGTTTTCAATTAACAGCTATACATAAAAACCACACTCCAAATTGTTTCTGTTGTCCCAAGTGGTTCCGATGAGGACGGAGGTCTGGGAACTACTGCGCCAAGGATCATTCCTCTCTAACAGCTAAACCTTCCTTACACACAAAGCCCCAGGCTCTGACCCATCTGGGCCCAGGTCTTGCTTGCTCTCTCCATATAATCCTTCCCAGCCAGAACTGCTGGCCTTCGCTGTTCCTCGTGTCTAAAATTAATGCAATAAACTCACTACTTGCCTGTGACCCTAACAGCATGCATGTTCCCTTTTGCAGCTAATATAGTGAGTATTCATAATTTAGCATTTACTTTATGACTTGAAACATTCATATATTAATCAAATATTTATTCCATACTAGGGAAAGCATAGTTATTTGTACATTTGTCCCATGGATGACTCATACATCTAAACTTCTCAAGGATGGGGCTAAGTTCTGGCCAGTGCAGTTGTTACTTACTAGATTATTTGTAAATCCCTAGTGTGTGTGCATCTCCCATTACCTTTTTACAAATCCTAAACCAACAATTGTCAACAAGGGTCTCTTTTCAAGTCATTCTAGGAAGCCAGGACACTATGGCAAGTAAAATGTTTTTCATGCTAATCAATGTTAAACTCACCTTGAAGCAGGCTAGCATCAAACGCAGGCAGTAGGGCATGATAGCCTTACTGGTACAGGGTAGGAGCTTCAGATCTGAACCTAGCACAATAGACAATGTCATGTTAACATGGACGGATGTTACTAGGAACAACTCTGAAGAGGGAATGTTCAAGACCTTTCCTCCCCTCATCAAGGTAAGTAACAGTCCCTAATGGTACTTTGTTGAGTCTGTAGATTTCACTTCTCAGTCTTCTTTCCTCAACACCATTAAATATTTTTGCATCATGTAACATTTCAGATACACAGAAAATTACAGAGGAAATATTATAAACACCAGTGTGTTCATTACTTGCCTTTACAAAATGCTAACATTTTACTTTTGATTTGTAAAGATTTTAATGTAAAGACTCACAGAATCAGGGGAAGTGTCCTGTGGACCCTCTGAGACCTTCTCCTCCTCCCTCCCAAGCAGCCCCAGTGTTGAATGTGATGGCAATTGCAAGCCACCTGCCCACTGTGTCGCCTTCATTTCCATTCAGAGGAATTCTCGCAGGTTTTCAGTCTACTCTACTAATGGTGTCAGGCTGCAGGAATTAGTCTGAAAAGTCACCTTTTTAAAATTCAATCGTTGAAGTTTCAGATTAATAATAGCGCATGTACAGAGGTCTATGGTTCATGAACTTTCAGAGTTACCTAGTATTTCTTTGTTTCCATATTACCATAAACAATTAATTTTAAAACAATGCTGAAACAGAACATTACTATTCATAATTTCTTGTGCATTTGTGGAAAAAAAAAACCTTTAAGCACGAATTTTAAATCAAGATCTGACCAACCCAGATGCCCCTTAGTAGATGAATGGATCAAGAAAATGTGGTATATATACACAATG